TGAACCGTCGTCGGCGTCGCGCGATCGAGCTTACATTTCGAGATAAATAAAAAAGACTAACAATAAGTGTGGTTCCTATATACAAATTGTTTTCCGGAGCGTAAGTTAGCGGTTCAGCGATCTCCTCAACGTTTTACGATGCAGACTACGGTGCGCAGATTACGTGCGTATATTTCACGGAACTATTGTTTCGATTCCGTAAATTACTTTCCCCCGTGGGGATCGATATATAGAACTGCCCCCTCCATCGAGAAAGAGAGAGAAAGAGAGAGAGAGAGAGAGAGAGAGAGAGAGAGAGTCGCGGTAATAATTTTCGCAGAAATCATGGAGGAAAAATATCGTTGCACACTTAAATCTTGCACCGGCGCGCTCCGTGGTACCCCAACTTTAGAAGTTCTTACCGAGAAAGCGGGTCGTAACGCGAAACTTTCAAAATTCTGCCAATGTGTTATAAACGTTTCACTCTCAGTCTCGTAAGTTCTCTCAATTCCTTACTTTATTTGTAATCAAAGCGTTCCTTCCCATTACGTTTCGTTCTCCAATACGCTTAAAGTAAAATATGTAGTAATGCATTAAGCTATATATATACTGCAATCTAATACAAATTTTAAACTATGCGAATGACAGAAAATATTCATTATTTGATTAATTGATACTTATTAAATTTGTCATATTGACCAGCACAAAAATATTAATTTCATTCCGATAACCTTTTCTGTTTCAATCAAATTTTCTTTGTTAAGATTGACATTGTATTACGTCCTGAAACATTTAAATTACATTTCTCGCAAAACAATATTCCTCTTATTATGATTTTTACAAACTGTTTTTGCAAAATTAAATCTTTTGAATGTAAAAAAGAACATAAGAATTATAATGCGGGAATTTTCCCACTTAATTTCGTAATTCGCGTACAGCAAGCAAACCACGAACTATGGCTGCTTGAAAAGTATCGAAGTTATCGAAAGAAAGTCGGCAGAACGGCAAGCTGAGTTAGATGCGGTGGCTGCTGGCTGGTGGCAATCGGACAGCACAAACCGGCGGATAACATACGAGGTCGAAAAATTCGCGGAAAGTTATCCACTTCCTTATACTCTTATTTGCGCTCTATTCGGTCGTCGCACACGTCGTACACGATATAATTTATGAATTTAATATTCGCGCTTCTTTCTCGCTGATTTCTGTTGCCAAGTGTAACAGTCCAACATATCCTGCGATCTAACTTTAAATTTAAGGAATAAAATATTTAGACATAAATTTCATAAATCTCGAAAATTTTCAGAAGAGAAGGAGAACTTTGTGCGATTAAACAGGACTTATTTGTTAACAAATACAATCTTTTTATAGTATAGCATAAAATTATTGCGGATGGTCCAGTTTTACGATTGTACCTATATAAAGTACTTCACGTAACGAAAGCTTTTGATTAAAAGGACCGGACCTCTTGCTCACTTTTTTTTGAAAATTATTGTCGGCCAGCTTTCGTCCATTCTAGTCGATTACCGTCCTTCACGCGACGGAATTTCGGTGCTTTAGGGAGCTTAATCTTCCGTGACGTGCTGACTTCGGCTCATTGGGAACTTACCTGGCGTCTCGAGGGTGCGCTCGCATCTTTTGCCTCGCTAGACAAGCCTAGCGATAACAAGAGGGACGAGGGATACCATCGCCGCCATTGCCAATCCACTCTCCAGGGTGCCATTGTTCTGTGGGGAGCCCTTCGAACCGATAAACCATCCGAGAAACGAATTCGAGCCAGGAACTTTTCACCGCTTTGCCAGAAAACGCGCGCAATTCCGCGAGATACGCGTCAATTAACCGTTACAATGTCGGCGAATCGATAACAGAACGCGTTATTAAAATTTCTGAAAGCTCGACGCTGCATTTTTAACATGCATCAGCCGCGCGTCCGCGAAATTCCAGGCTCGGGCCTTTCGCATGCGACAAAATGAATAAACGTTCCAATATGGAAATATACAGAGTTAGGTAATGAAACGCGGTTCTCTGCGAAATATGTTGCTCGCTGCGCGTTCGCTTTCCATACTCTTCGAGCGGCTCCCACTCGACAACAAACTAAATTAAAACGTTTCCGTTGTTGCTTCCTGTGGAGATGAAAAGACAAACAAACGCCAATGGTCCGCTGTGAGGAACGAAATAAAATAAAATAGCTGTTATTTGACTCGCGTCTAGAGGCTCGCCGAGACCTCGAGGTGTCGCTCCTGTTTCAATTTTTATTGTTCGTACACCCGTGCCAATAATGATAAATGTATGCACGTGTGAGACATCTCTCGTTGTTTACGGTGCTTTAATTTCCCGAAAGCACATCCCGGCGGCTTCTCTTCTTTCATTTTATTTTTCTTTATTTCGATTGCGAAGTTATTAACGCGAATAAGATTTTTGTAAGGCAGTATTGTGTGACAAGATATGCGTGGATTTGAAAATTCCGTGCGACATTATTCATAAATTATAGAAAATATAATTTTAGTTTACTCCAATTAATTTAATAAGCAGCACTATGGACTTGTACTATGGACGACATGGTCGGCAATCAAAGTAGAATGTGAATGTTAATCGAATCAGTATTCAGACATAATTTGAATTTCAATAATATTTGTAAAACTCAAAGACACATTTCACACAATTGTAAAAGCTTAATACATAACATATGAAATGAAATATACAACAAATAATGTCACGAACAGAAAAAAAATAAAATTAAAATATATTTAGACCATTTATAAGTCTCTTGAGATGTAACTGTATTTAAACAGGAGCAAAATTTAATTTTTGAAAAATATATATATATGTATAGTCACACAATTTGCACTGTTTTTATATCATTTTTTATATACTTAATGCACAAAAGTGATATAGACAAAGGTTTAACGATACCTTTCTATAGCATAACTTTTTTCATATATTCACTGTGTATTTCTTATATTTATAACGAATATTTTATCTTACGCGTTTCAAGGATACAATGATAAGATAACGTATTGCGCACATACCTGCAACAATTATTATTATCATCACTAATAACTTTAAATGGCGTCATAGTTCTTGACTAATAATGCCATATAATAAGAGTCATTCTGAAAATTGTTTCTACAAATAACTACAGAAACTCCTACAATGAATATTGCTTAACCTTGCGTAAGCCGCATTTATTCTTGCGAAACATATCTATACATATTGCTGAAACTCATTGTCAGTCATTTTATTGTGTGTACCAATAATTATCTCAACCAAAAGTGTGAATCAATAATTCATTGCATTGAAAATGACGTATTTACTGACACTATTTATTGTATTAATTCTGATGATAGCATAAACTTTGATGTTAAACTGGAAGAGCTGAAGCACTGAAAATATGTTGATTATAAAAATGTCGAACGGAAGCGCCTAATAAAAAAATGGCAAATATAATGTTAGCGTTATATTTGCCATTTTTTTATTAGACGTAGTTATATAATGAAACAATCATTATATACGATACGAATAAGGCGCCAGGGGTAGACTGAGAAAATCATTAATTTTATACCAAATATAATATCGTTGTATTAACAAAAACTTATTAACCCGTAAAGGGCACCTGGATGCGAATTCGCACCAAGCGAATTTTTTTAAAGTTTTATATCTTTTGAAAATAAAAAGCAAAATTAAAGCAAAATGTGTTTCTCAATGTAAAATTGTTTGATCAATCAATTGGTAATATTAAATTTTCCGAAAAATTATAAAAAAACGTAATTGTTTTCAAATTTTGTGTTAAACAAAATCATTCAAAAGAGAGGTGTCCTTTATGGGTTAATGTATAAGAATTTAACACCATTACAATCTATATTTAATTACGTTGTTTATACATTCAATGCAATAGATAAATAATATTGCTGCAACGTAATTATGATATATTTGCTATAAATATATATTCTAAATACGCACAAAATTATGTAAAAAAATTCATTGTTATGTATTATATAAGCGTATTCCATCGTAAAGTTACAGAAGTAAAAGCTACAGAATTAAGTCCCGCTCGAGGTCCCGCTTTAATTTAACACCTGCATCATATAATATTATAACATCTGTTTCTTTACTTTTCAATATTAATAGTTATACATGTTTATGTTTTATGATTAACAAAAACATGTAAGCGTAGAATTTTTCTGTAAATAATGGCATTAGATAATCTATGCGATTGTTGGTATTTGTGTTACAAATGTTTCTTCTCTGTTGCTTTAACGGAGTAAAATATTCACAATGGATATATATATATATATATATATATATATATATATATACACGATGGATATATATATAAAATATTCACGATGGATATATATATATATATACATATATTGATAACGGTTTATATTGACACGACTTTAATTTTTGTAAAGTAAAATATATATTTAGAATATTTTTGCGCAAAATTCAGAAAGATTGTAATATGTAAGTGGAATAAAAATTAAAAATAGTGAAGGAAAAGTCCTTATCAACAAACAGACGTCAAGTTTTTTCTATAATATATTAAATCTAAACGATATATTTCCGCATTCTCCAGATGAATATAGCGCAAATGCGAAAAGAAAGAAATTATTTTGCTTCTTAAAATCACTTATCATAAACCTGTGCACCTTGCACCATGATATTTTATAATTTGACCTTTATTTTTACAAGAAAATAGAATAACTGTTTAAAAAAAAGTTTTATCTAAAAAACATACATATGTGATGAAATATAAAAAGCATAATGTACAATTGCGCAACTTTAAAATTAATACGTAAATAATTAAATATTTATGTAAATTCTTGTATAAAGCAACTTGTTCACTGTCTTCCAGTATTTCCTATATAACAAATGCATTATCTTGCGGTTGCTCAAGGACTTATTGATAAGATAACTAAAAACATATTGCGCATATACTCCTATAACAATTATTGTTATCAATAATACTAGAACGCACAACTTTTAAATGTTACAATTTCGCGTTCGGTTGTGAGGGTTTCAAATTAAGTTGCTTTTTAACTAAGGTTAATATCTTCTAAAAGTTGCTATATAAACTAAGTTCTGCATAAACTTCTGTACAGTTTCAATATAAACCTGCAGTGAATATTGTCTAACATTGTATTATTTGTTATTACCGCGTTCCCTGTTGCAAGATACGCATCTGTCAGTGAAACTCAGTCATTTTATGTCTATCGGTGACCATTCGTTACAGTGAAAATGACAAATCTATTATTTATTGTATTAATTTTAACATTTGCCAATATGAGCTTCAGCTCATCTGTTAAACTGCAAACAATAACCGAATTTAAATATATTGATTATTTGTGGTCAAATGAAATGCAGAGGCAAAAAGCGATAGAATCTGGCAATTATAACGCTAGCTCGTGCGTTATATACGATGTAGACCAATCGCAAGGTAGGTTGATATTATTCAAAGAAATGGCAGTAATTTTATATAAAATATAAATATCTTTATATTTAAAAACTTATTAGTATAGGATTTAAGATGTCATTACAATCCATACTCAATTATATTTGTACGTTGTTAATGCAACAAATGTTATTTCTACAGTACAGTTATAACATTTTTGCGATAAATACAACATATTATAAGCACACAAAATCTTTACACTCACACTTCTTATAGATGGTAGAATATTCGTTACTGTGGTAACAGAGAAGGGAGTACCAGCTAGTCTGGCGACAATTAGTGACAAAGAAGGAAAGGGAGGACGACTTTTAAGACCGTATCCAGATTGGTCATGGTATAATAATGGTAACGAGACTAATTGTAAAAAAATTATAAGTGTATACCGGGTATCAGTGAGTATCAGTATTTCTCAAGCCATATATAGCTATTGCAAAATACTTATTATTTTGTAATATGTATCTATTTTTTTCTGCATTAGATTAAATGCAACCACATGTTCGTTTTGGATTGTGGCCAAATCGGAGACGATAAAGTTTGTCCTCCGAAACTATTAGTCTTCGATTTAGGCAGAAATAAACTTGTTCATAAAAGAATTATCCCACCACATATCGCTACTAACAAAAATGGCACTGGATTGTTCGTAACACCACTCGCTTATGTTAAAGATTGCCACCGCATACATGATGCGACCGTTAGTATTCGCATGTTTTTAGTCACATAGTACATGATCTTTGTTTCGTACTTGTGCAAATATACATCTTGTGACTTCATTCGGAATACAACTGTTCTTAAGTAATAATAGATTAACACAAAATAAATGTGTACATACAGGTATATATGTCTGACATTAAGGGTAACGGTTTGGTGACATACAACAGACGTTCAGGCTTCTACAGAATTGAATCTGATTTCATGAAACCAACTCATCCTAATTTTACCATACAAAACATTAGTTTTTATTTAGAAGACGGTACTCTCGGATTAGCACGTATTCGTCAAAGCAAGTATTCAGTTCTTAACACCAAAATTATTTAAAGTGTTATGTAAGCTTATTACGCCACGTAAGTGCTAAAGAATTTAAGTCTTACTTCAACTTGATACTTGCGTCATTATTTCCATCTATTTATTTTTTAATATCAACAGTTATGCATACTTACGCTTTATGACTAATAAAAATATGAAACGCGGAAAGCTTTTCTGTAAATAATCAATGGCATTCGTTAATTTTTCCAATTGTTAACATCTGCGTTGCAAATGTTTTAGGTTTGTTATATGCTCCTTTAGCGGGGCATAAAGTACATAAGATGAACATAAATGATCTAAAACAAACTCTAAGCAATAGCCAAGCTAATAGATTAACTAAATTGGCGGGTACATTATCTGGCCAAACGGGACCGATAGCATCCAAGGGTAATGTATTATTTTTCAGCAACGTCCCGGAAATGTCCATTCTGTGCGCGGATGCTACCCGCAAATTCGATCCTAGCAACACTGTAAGATATTCGAATATAATTATTCTCTATACATTATTCAAAACAAATTCTTTTGAATATTTCTACTGCTATTCTATTAACATTATTACGTCTGTTAATAACGACTTGTTGATAATGATTTTAATTGTTGTAAAATAAAATATCCACTTTTAGGAGGTCATTGTGCAAGATTCCAAAATGCAATTTGTGAGTGGACTAAAAGCGAAGTGGAATAAAATACTAGTTGCAATAAACCGGATTCAACTTGTTTTGAATAATATATTAAACCTAAACGAGATAAACTTTCGTATTTTCCAAATGGATATGAGACAAATAACAGAGCAGACAAATTGTTTCAGTCATTGGTAGTGGTGGTGACCATAAACCTTGATGGTTGTAAGAAACAACATAAGATATACTTGATATCGTAGACCTTGGCAATTTTTATTTTCCCTAAAAGATAAAATAATTGTTTCAAAAAGATTTTTGAGAAGCATACATTAAAAAAATAAAAAGCATAATGTACGACTGGCTATAAACATTTTCAAAATTAATACATTATTAATAACTAAATAATTATTCAAAAACAACTTCTTTATTTAAAAACTGTTGCAGCCACTATGCTCTTATTTCACAATTGTAAAACAAAAAATAAAGAAAATAAAAGATAAATTACATAAGAAATACGGTTTTTTCCATTCCTGAAGGTCCCATTGACAAGCTAACATTCTATTTAACGTTTAATATGTTCTGTTGTATAATAGATTCAAGTGTTTTGTTGAAGAAAGATTAATAGCGCTTTTTTTTGTAACTATAATTTTAGTTAAGTTACAGTTCGAATAAATTGAGCGACAATAATATTGTTGCGCAGAACCAGATTTTATTCTTTTATATAAAACTTGTCATGACAAAGAGAAAGGGAATGCGATGATGTCGCATTTAAGTTTTCATTAGACATACACGCTAGAAGCGTTTTTCTACTGTCATTCGATTAGACGAGAACAATCTCATCAGAGTTACTCGTCGGATTGAGCAGGGCTATTCCGAGTTCGATTCACGTGGCATTGCTCGCGGTGTTTCGGAGGACTGAACCGCTAAAATAAAAAGTAAATCCCGATAGCCGTGTATGCAAAATATCTACGAGGAAAAAGGATGAATCATTCCGACAGAGAAGATGCGAGAGAGACGAAAGTGACGAGGAGGAAGGGGAGAGGAGAGAGAGAGAGAGAGAGAGAGAAAGAGAGACGAGAAAACGTCAAAACTGAACGAGAGATGCATGTCGTGTGGTTCGTGAACGACCACACTCGCCAGGACGACAGCAAGGGTACAAATTGTTTTAACCAACCTGGAGTCGTTAAATATTGAGATACAATTAAAATTAGTGGAAAGAGTCATTTCGCTCTCGGCTCGTTCGTCAATCAATTTAATAAGATTTTTATATTGTAATTTTTCAAAGAATATTGCGCTTGATTTGCAAAGAATAGATTGGTTAACGATTTATTATAACAAAATAATACGCTATACGTAGAGCGATATGACGCGTTCAACTATTTTATTCAAAACAGATATTCGTTACGGAATCGCTTATATCTGTATTAATTAATGCTTCAAATGTTATGAGAGTCAAAAAATACGTGATTTATATTATTATTAACCGTCCGCAATGTTGTCTTGTCTTACAATATTTTCCTGAATTGTTCTTTTATCGTTTGGGTCTTCAGTTTTTTAAATTATTGTAGGCAATATCATAGATATGATCCGAGAGCAGAGTTCAGCAGAGGATTCAATGATTTTAGAGTGAGCTATAGTCCATCTTGATTCACTCTTAATGCCATTTTGCCGAGGAGTAAGAGGAAATCCAATTTCATCCTTAACCCCGTTAGTCCAAGGCAGCGTTTGCATCGGCCTGAGCACATAGAAGCGGGGGCTATCGCGAGCGCGGTTTGCATTGCGCCTTTCGCGACGGCACAGCTCGGGGATAAACCGAGCGTGAATGTAAACCTGGACTGGATTCGTTTGAAGTCCGCGAATACTGGCGTGGTGAATTAACGTTAACGTCCAATCCGCCGAAGAGAGAGAGAGAGAGAGAGACCCGCCGGCGTTTTCGCCGTCGCATTTACGGTCGCGTTCGCGTTCGCGACCGACTGACAAGAAACACTAGGAATGAAATGACGAGTAACGAGATTAAACTCTCTGTCGCAATGACGGTGGCGATAGCTTCGCGTTGTAAGGACAATGCGAGTGTACCAGCAGTAACGGAACGTAATAGACGTGTAAAATGGATAGTGCGCTTTTTCCGACGGCAACGTCTCGGAAACCTATCCTCCTCTGCATTTAACTCGTATAATTTTATCGTCACTTGGTTCATATAATACGCTGTAGTTGTTTCGCTAATGTTGTTCGGCGAGCGAACTACTTCTTTTTGTTATAATATAAAAATTATTTACTGTTACTCGAACCGGGGCTAAATTCAACACTTCGACTGCCAAACTGATTTTGGCATTGAACTTAATAAAAATCTAGTGAACTATTTTAATATTTTATTGTTTTTTTTATATATAATTTATATATTGTTTCTTTAACGTCTTAAAAATACTTAAAAACATTTTTAATCGGATAAATAAAATCGTCACCCACAAATGTGTGACAAGATTCTTGTGAATTTTATGCGTAACCTAGATATAAATGGCATAGATGTTAATTAATATGAATCTTAATTAAATTAATATTTAAAAATAATTTCATTATATTTGAATAATATTTATAAAAATGGAAGAGATGTATTTTACATAATTGTAAAATGCCTGATGCACAATTAAATATATGAAAGTAAACATATAACAATTTTTACCACAAATACAAAATGCAACTGAAATCTTACAAAATATACTCAACTTTTTTAAATAATTTGAGATAAAACATATTTAAATAAAGTTAAAATTTAATTAATAGAGAATATGTGTATATATATATATATATATATATATATATATATATATATATGAGTAAATTTGTATTATTTTTTACAATTATAAATAATAATAAGAGTAACAAACAAAGATTAAACGGTTTAATAGCTGAACTATCTATTTTTCTGACAATGTTCCTCTTGCCAGTATTTCTTATACAACAAATACATTATCTTTCATTCCTCAAGGCCTTAAGAATTTGATAAGATAACGTATTGCGCATTACATACTCTCACAATAATTATTATTATCGATAATGCTAGAATATATAACTTTTAAACACTAAATTTGAACTATTGCGATATTGCAGACATATATAATGAGGGTACTTTTAAAGACTGCATTTAAACTAATTGTGAGTTCTATCTTAATGGCGAAGTTCTGTAACGTCCTTAATATCTTCTAAAAATGACTATGTAAGCTAAGTCCTGTGTAAACGTCTGCATAGTTTCAACATAAGCCTGAAGTGAATATTGTCTAACATTATACAACCCGTTACTACCGCATTCACTCTTGCAAAATACGTATCTATCAATAAAATTCAGTCATTTTATGTTGACCATCCGTTATAACGAAAATGACGAATCCATTATTTATTGTATTAATTTTAACAATTGCCTGTATAAGCTTTAGTTTATCTGCTGATCTTCTCAAGCTGGAAGATGTAACCGAATGGAAATATTGTGAGTATCGGTGGAAAAAAGGACAGAAGGATAAATTGACAAAAAATGGTATTTATAACGCCAGCGCTTGCGTTATGTACGACGTAGACGCTGATAGTAAGTAAACTATTGTTATTCAAAGAAATAGCAATAATTTTATACGTAATATAAATATCTTTCTATATAAAAGCTATTATTAACGTCATTATAACGTCATTATGACCTATACTTATTTATATTTATATGTTACCAATGCAACAAATTATTGTAGTACAGTTATAACATTTTTACAATAAATACATATTCTAATCATGTAAAATCTTTACAATCACACTTCTTATAGATAGTAGAATATTCGTTACTATGGTAGGGAAGGGAGCTGCCGCTACTGTGGGGACAGTTTTAACCAAAAAAGTACCGGGAGGTAACGTTATAAAACCGTATCCAGATTGGACATGGTATAATGAGAATAATAAGACTAATTGCGACAAAATTATAAGAGTATATCGAGTACACGTGAGTATTAGTATTTTTTAAATATATTGCAAATCATTATTATTTTGTAATATGCACATTTATTTTTTTTACATTAGATCAAATGCAATCACATATTTATTTTGGATTCTGGCACAATCGAGGGCAACGCGGTTTGTGATCCGAAACTATTAATCTTCGAGTTAACAAACAATAAGCTCGTTAAGAAAATTATTATCCCACCACAATTCGCTAAAAACCAAAAAGGTAGTGGATTGCTCGTTACGCCATATGCTGATATTCACAATTGCAGTCACATAGATGATGCGACCGTTAGTAGTATTTCTTATACGTTTTTTAGTCACAACAATCATACATACTCTTTGTTCCGTACTCGTATAAATATACGGTACATTCTGTGACTTAATTGAGAATATAACTATTATATTAATTAAATAATAGATTAACACAAAAAATTGTATACAGATATATATGGCTGACACTACGGGTTTCGGTTTAGTGATATACAACAAACGTTCAGGCTTCTGCAGAATTGAATCTGATTTCATGAAACCAACTGATCCTGATTTCACCATAAAAAACGAGAGATTTCGTTTGGATGATGGAATTCTCGGATTAACACGTATTTGTCAAGGCAAGTACTCAGTTTTTAACACAAAAATTATATAAATTGTTATGTAAGCTTATTACGACACGTGAGTAAGTGCTAATAAATTAAAGTCCCACTTCAATTTGATTTTTGCATCATATTTATTCTGTTCATTTATTTTTCAATATTAATAGTTAGGCATATTTACGCTTCACGACTAAAATTGCTTTATGAACAAAAATGAAGCATAAAAAACGTTTCTATAATTAAATCGATGTTATTAATTTTCGTTCATTTATTCGTTAATCATTCCGATTGTTAATATCCGTGTTTAAAAAATGTTTTAGGTTTGTATTATTCTCCATTAGCGGGGCTTAAGGTATATAAGATGAACACCCTCGATCTACAACAATGTCAACATCTAAACAACAGCCAAGCTAATAGTTTAACTGAATTGGCGGGTGTATTATCTAACCAAACGGGACCGATAGCATCCATGGGTGGTGTATTATTTTTCAGCAACGTCCCGGAAATGTCCATTCTATGCGCGGATGCTACCCACAAATTCAATCCTAGTAACACTGTAAGATATTTGAATATAATTATTCTCTATACGTTATCATGATAACAAATTATTTTGAATATTTATTGCATCTGTTGATAATGATTTATTGATATACGATCATTTTCATTGCTGTAAAGTAAAATATATATAATGTTGCATGTATATCCCTTTTAGCATGTCATTGCGCAAGATTCCGAAAAACTGCCATATGTGAGTGGACTAAAAGTTATTCGTAAAACAGTTGGGGGGGTTAGACTGATGATTCTATCAAACAACCTTCAGCTTGTCGTTAACAACAAATTAGACATAACAAAGACGAACTTTCGCATAACCCAAATAAAAATGGAGTCTATACGAAAGCAGACAGAATGTTTCCATCGGAAGCCTAAACCTTGTGGGTGCAGTTGGTTATATAATTGGTTAAATAGCATATAGCATCATAAAGTGCACTATATACCTAGATATCCTAGATGTTAATATCTTGATATCTTTGGCTATTTTTATTTTTTCTAGAAGATAAAATGATTGTTTTAAAAAGATTTTGCTTTAAAAAACATACGTAAATAAAACGTATAATATGCAATTGATTATGCACAATTTCAGAATTAACACATTGTTAATAATTAAGTAATTATATAAAGCAATATCTTTATTTAAACACTGCTGTGCTCTTATTTCACAATTGTAAAACGCAAAGCAGAGAAATAAAAATATATTACATAACAAATAAAACGGCATTTTCCGTTCCTGAAAGTCCCATTGATAAGATAAAATTCTATATACTGCACCTGTAGCAAGTGTTATTATCAATAGCATGAATCGAATGACTTTAAACGAGGCCACAATTGTTTATCGCCAGTATAATAATAGTTTTCCTGAAAGGTATTTTCATATGCATAGAGTTAGAAACTTTCCGTAAATGTCAGCCAACATCGTGCAAGCTATCATTAATAGATTCGCACTTGCGAAATACGTGTCTATCGATAGAGCTTAGTTGCATTATTATTTTGTGATGTAATAACAATTTTTCGTTTCGCTGAAAATGAGGAATTCTTTGTTGGTCACATTAATTTTGACGGCCGTAACTATAAGTTTTAGTGTTGTACTAGAAGATGTGTACGATTGGAAATACGTCGATTTTCTCTGGGAAGATAAAAAGCATGAAGAGAACGCGATAAATTCTGGCATATATATTCGTAACGCATGCGTTTTATATGACGTGGACAAGACACAAGGTAGATCAATATTATTGAAAGTAAAATAATTAAATTTCTATGTAATTTTACATGAAAATGTAAATTACAATGTCATATTTATTTTTTGAAAACAATTAAATACTTTACCAAAATTTTCTTAAAATTTAAATACTAGTTTTATACCAGCAACTTATTAATATAATATGTCATTATGATCAATGTTCTATTAAATGTGTTGAAGGAAGAATAAATATAGCATTACCGTTGCAATAGTATTATAATATATTTTTGTGAAACATGTCTAAATAGCATGCAATTTTTTATAAATCAAATTTTTGTAGATGGTAGAATATTCGTCACTTCGGTAAGAGACAAAGGGGTACCAGCGAGTCTGATGACAGTTTCTAACGAAATAGGACCAGGGGGTCCACTTTTGGAACCGTATCCAAATTGGTCATGGTACAATGAGAATGATTGCAGCGGCATTATAAGTGTATATCGGGTGTCTGTGAGTATTTCTTTTTTTTAAGCAATATATAGAAATTGCAAATAATATATTTTTATTTTATATTGTGCAAATCAATTTCTTTTTTCATTAGATCAAATGCAATCACATGTTCGTTCTGGATTGTGGCAAAATCGGGGAAGAAGCAGTTTGTCCTCCGAAATTATTAGTCTTCGATTTAGAAAATGATATGCTCGTTAAACAAATTATTATCCCACCACATATCGCTAATAACAAAAATGGCACTGGATTGCTCGTAACGCCGCTTGCTTACGTACGAGATTGCAAACACATAAATAATGCGACCGTTAGTACTCCTCACGTTTTTAATCGCAATAATACAAGCTCTTTGTTCCGCTCTCATGCAAATATATGTCACATCTTGTGACTTAAGTTGAGGAACGTAATTATTCTGTCATTAATTAAGTAATAGACTAACATAGAAAGACGTATACATGCAGGTATTTATGGCTGACATAGAAGGTTTCGGTTTAGCGATATACAACGAAAATTCAGGCTTTTGCCGAATCGAATCTAATTACATGAAGACGACTAATCCCAATTTTACGATAGAAAACGAGAGTTTTTATTTGGAGGACGGTATTTTGGGTTTAACGCTCATTCAGAAAGGTAAATAAATTTTTTAATACAAAGAAAATTATTTCAATTATTATATAAACTCGTTGCATTGTACGTGACACGTATAAATTTAAAATCCATCTTCAACCTGATATTCAAGTCGTATCATTTCCATTTGTTTTTGTTTTCTTATCTATACTTATACATATTTACGCTTAGCTAACAGATAGAACAGTAAGAAGATAAAGACCTCGTCAGTAAGTAATGCCATACTGTTAGTCTTTGCGATTGTTAATATCTCCATTGCAAATGTTTTAGAATTGTTCTACGGCATCTTGGGGGGAAACGAAATGTATAAGATGGATATCTGTACTCAACAAGACTGTAAGGAACTAAACGAAAACGAGGTTGATAAACTAACCCAACTGGCGGGTACGTTGTCTGGTCAAACGGCAGCGATAGCATCCAAACAATGCGCAATATTTTTTAGCAATATTCCCGACACATCCATTTTGTGCCAAGATGCTAGTAAACAATTTACTTCCGACAATACGGTAAGATATTTAAAACGTAATTTTTCTTTATATATATTGTTCGATAATAAATTATTTCAAATATTCATACTCCAATATTGTTTCGTTTCTTAATAATGATTATCGGAATAATTTTAATTCATATAACATGAAAAGCAATTTTCAGGTGGTCATTGCGCAAGATCCCGAAAGGTTACAATTTGCAAGTGGGATGAAAGTTGTAAATCATGGAAAACAGTTGATGGTCATGACAAATAGTTTCCAACGTGTCATGACTGGTACATTAAATACAAACGAGACAAACTTTCGCATTCTCGCAATGGATATGGGGCAAATATGGGACGAGACAGATTGTTTTGCTTCTTGTAACGGGGATCATACTACCCCTAAACCTACCCCTAAACCTACGCCTAAACCTACCCCTAAACCTACCCATAGACCTGGTCCCGGTGGACATGGCCACGGTGGACATGGTCACGGTGGACCTGGCCCTGGTGGACCTTGGCACGGTGGACCTGGTCCCGGTGGACCTTGGCACGGTGGACCTGGTCCCGGTGGACCTTGGCACGGTGGACCTGGTCCCGGTGGACCTTGGCACGGTGGACCTGGTCCCGGTGGACCTTGGCACGGTGGACCTGGTCCCGGTGGACCTTGGCACGGTGGCCCTTGGTACGGTGGACCTTGGCGCGGTGGACCCTTGCATGGTAGGCCTTGGTATTTTGATAAGAATGATGAACCCAATAAATCCAATAAGCATGATAAATATAATAAATAATATAAAAAATATTTCTAAAAAAACTTTTCTTAAAAAAAAAATGAAACATATGCCAAGAACATATTCAAATTTGTATGCAATAAATAGGAATCTACAAAAATTTGTAAAAATATATATGTTTTAATGTGATTCGTACACATTAAAAACTTTCACAATTTACTTTGATTTTAAACTCGTTTTATGCAACTTAGCATCTGTAAAATAGTAAATTGTTTTCTAATATTATATGTAGATATTGTATATAAAATTATTCATATACATATATATTAAAAGAATCATTTAAGATTGCAAAAATCTCACGTCATTTTTAACAATTAATCTATTTTGCAATATTTTCTTTACCAAAAAAAATAATAGTGCTTAATAGACAATAATAAAAATATATTCATAGCTTTATAATAAATATACTTAAAAGACTACCGTGTCCCTTAATATGCAAAATATATATACAATTTTGTTCCTTTTATTTCCTTTATTTTTTATTCTTCTATATTCTGTAGTCTTTATCAATTTATCAATTTACTTTAATATATATTTTTGATATAACTTGTATGTTATAGTGTCTTAAATAAAAAAAAGTAATTTATTGAAATTTTAGGAAAACAAAAATATGAATTATTTTGTTTAAAAAATAGTTAGAACATATTATAATAAAATCCTTACGATCGAGAGGATTTTAACGATTAATCTATGTTCATCGCCTGTACCTTTTAACTAACGCAAATAATATTTACTCCTAACTGGATTAAAAATTGTTGCGTGGAAGCATGATATTACTCCTAAGTTGATATCGAACATTTTCGTAAGTGCAACATTTCTGCTGGTACTTAATGGAATCGAGTAAGCCGCACGGGCGGACTTTGCTGTTTGCATAGATGCACGACGCGACGTCGACGCACACTGCGGCCGTTGACATAAATCCAGATTCGTACGTTGCCACGCTGTAAATCTTCCAAGTGTGTATGCGCTCTGCGCAGATCATGTAGCGTGTCTGCTATTCGCTAAATTATCACTTATACTTGAAAACGTTAGTCTTCGTCATTTCAAGTAAAAGATAGATTTACGTACTATCTTTGATATGTCAAATTAAAATATTTACCTTTGGTACATATGTCAAATTACAATATTTATGCATGATAAAAATATGACTAAAAATATGGTTTAAAATATTGAAAAGGTTTAATTCTCGAGTTAGTTATATATACAAAATATACAGTATTAATAAACAAAATATAAGCGCTTCTGTCATTTTGTAAAATATTATATAGTTTCCCGAAACTTTGAAGAAAAATCGACTCTACGCGTTGGCCAAAAATCCTATAGCTGAAGGAAAGTTTCTAGACGGACTATATCAGTATCAGATTGTCCGTTTATCAGAGAGAGAAAGAGAAGGCGAGAGAGAGAAAGAGAGAACTAAATCCTATTTTCGGAAGTTGAGCTCGCGCAACACTCTGCGGCCTCACCCGATAAACTCATCCCGCGTCCCAGGATTCGGAATTCTTCTCTCGAAAATACGTTTTGAAAAGGGAAAGAAAAGGGCGAGCCAAACTGCGAGGGTGGTGGTGGTAGCGGGCGAGTTTCTGGCAACTTAATGAAACAATAGCGCGGTTTCCACAGCAGGAACGGAAATCGTTCGCGCTTTCCCGCTTCGACCAAAGCTGCAGTTCACGTCGTTTTTGCGAGTGGTTCGTCAGTGCGGAGGATAATTTAGATAACAGACCGCGTTTCCCATGCGATCCTCTCGGATAATTAATCAAAAAATATTCAACCGGAAAGCACGCATACTCGCGGGAACAGATGACGAATTCGGGACTGTCCGAGGATAAGCCAAAATACGATCTAATTTAAAGAATCACGATTATATTAGTTTTTTATTCACGCTCTGATCAATTAAGAGGTTTTAATTTTTTCCGAATATAAATATAAGTTTTCAGTTTGTGTGAGACCAAACTTCTGACCATTAATAATATAATGAAAATGACTTTAATCACATATAGAAAGTGTCGTAGATCATTTATTTTGATGTAAAAGCGTTCCGAAAGTTTGTGAAAGAAAAGTTAGCGACACGAAAATTCATCGAGCAATATATTAATTCTATCAGAACAATAAAATTTCACTTGTCCACAGATATTGGCTTTTATGTCTAATTCAAAATTGTTTTTTTTTATAAAAGTTAATTATATAGACGATATATTAAAATTCTGCCGATTTGAAAAATTTTGAGATTGTGAAAAGTTTAGGCTTAATTGATGGTACGGTTATTTAAGTTGCATTTAGCAGCAAGAATTGAAAGTAATTAATTTAAATGTGCATTTATTTGCAAATCACTACGTCAATTAATTTGTAAATATTTATAAACGAAGAAGTCGCAAACACGACCATCGCCAAAAGAAATCAAACAAATGTTTCTTTCCTAATATTGATTCCTTCAATCACGGCGAAGGATTGGCTAATAAAGAATTTCAAGGGAGAGATCTGCCCGTGAGTTTTCATAGAGCTCAAGGTGCAGGAACGCGAAAGCATTTTGCCAATGTGGCAAAACGGAATCGAAAGCAAAGCAAGTATTTTGTTGCTGTTGAAACGAAATAACGAAACCAATCGAAGTGCATGATGGGGAAATCATTAGTCCTGGGGACGTTCAACCGGGGCGAGTTTTGCAGTCCCCGCAAGTCTCGCGCGCGCTGTTTCTTTCCGAGTTTCAATCCGCGACGACGCGAATTCAGGTCGATGAAAGACGAAGGAAAAGCAGTTCGGGCACTCGATTTTCCGGACTGTCGGAGAACTTCGTTAGTCTTGGCTGGAAAACCCCGAAAGAGGGTCGTTATACCTCATCGCAACGTATAAAATATTTTCATCTGCGGCAATCACAACGTACTCCCGCGCACCGGAAGCGAGCGCTGTCTTCGGAAGTTTTATACTCGCGCCGTGCGCGAGGGTGGCAAATCATAGGTATAATGCGTTCCACGTGCGTTCCAACGTTTGGGGATCTTGTTGTAATATGTACGTTCGTTTGGTTGACGTTACCACATATTGATTTTACGTTGACACGATTATGATAAAACGTATACAGTATTTTTGAAAAAAAAACTTCAAAATGTTTACTACAATCTTAATTCTTCTACAAATGCTAAAAATATATATACTAAACTGTATATAAAAATACCATGTGGCAACTTTGAAGAGCTCAAAGAAATACGGACGCACAAAGAAATATTCAAATAACTCGGCTTGTTAGTTTTGCAACGTTTTCTCGATAATGTTTTCTCTCATGCGAATCTTTATATTGACTTTTAAGATTATTTTTTACAAAATTGCGTTTAAGACAGTTTCTCTTCTTTTGACGTTGTACAGAGCAAAAATACCAGCAGCAAGAACAAAAAGTGTTAGTCCAATTGGAGAACAAATATCGCGTTTCAATTGCTACCAATTGATCGTACGGGAAAACGAACGTACGAGCAAACGCAACGCTATATCCGGTCCGCGTAGGACGCAACAAACAAGTATTGCATCCCGTGTCCGACATGTTTCGCCAGTGAATTTATGCTCCATTCTCCTATTTCTCTTGGTCGTTTAATACGCCACTCTTGGTACCCATTGTTTCAATCAGCATGATATCCCGCCGTTGCGTCCGCTCGCTTGGAAGTGAAATTATTTGTGAGAGTTTATGTAAACAACATCGTTAATAACCATGCAAAATTACCAACATCAATATAAAGAAAATGTAATTCTGGAATGCTGCCCATTAGGTATATTCGTATCAAATTCTTTTTTTTTAACTCTAAAAACTGGGTAGTTTGGATCTGATATTTAATCTAGTTTAATTCAAAACACTAATTTTAACCACTAATATTAAAGAATTCGATAAGAAACATTATCTAAAAACATATTGTTTTGTTTCAAATTCGATAAATATGAAAGAGATTGAAAAAAATATGTTCTCGATAATTAACTCATTATTACAATTAACTATGCATACAGAAATATACTAATATTAGTTTGATCTAGTCAACAAAATAACAGATCGACATTTTGCGTAAATAGTGAGACGATCGATCTTATGTAAGAAGCTGTCCCAGTTACATTCTAAGGCACTACGTTTATGCGCCATATTCGATTTTAGCGAGCTTTCGTGAGGGCCCCCTTTGCGAACGATAGATTGATAATCTATTAATTATTATTATTATTAACGATTTGTTACAAATAGAAGCGATTCGATAATTGTCGGCGAATATCGACAAAAAAGAAGTTGAACGGACGCTATCCCGTCTTGAGAAAGCTCGTTGAAATTGGCCTTGTGCCAAAGAAACGAGACTACCAAGAAAAATCTTCCATAAATCTTCCTTAATGAATATTAAATCGACATTTTATTAATTTTCAATATATCGTTTGGAATAAAAACAACTTAAGAACCGTCGTTAATAGACGTTGATAAATAGAAGAAAATTGCTTTTACGACACCAATAATACAAAAAAAAAATGTTTATCTCGAGAAACTTTTGATAAATTTTCTTAATACGCATAATGAGAGATGTATTAGAAGTCCCTTCAGTCGAAATATCAATTCGGTCGTGTCCCATGAAATTTCTGATTCCCGAGAGCCAGTAGGTAATGCCCGTAATCGGTCGTATTGTTATTTTGCTCCTATTTTCGAACTTGCTGCGGACATGACTGCACAATATCCCGAATTATTGCCAGTCATTCGGTGGAGTCGTCAAAAATTCGATGCACATACACTCGGGATCTTTTAGGGGGCTTGCGACATTTTCAGCACGTAGTATCGCAGTAGTTACATGGATCAGCGATTTTTAGCCCCGCTTTCTACACCTCCCGGCCATATACGCCATGCACGTATGTGCCACCTGTATAAACATTTACGAGCGCCGTCGTACATTTTCGCTATACTTTAACCCTTCACATACGATTCCTGGTGGCTGATACTCTTTCAGAATGACACCCTTTCCGCATCATTGACCTCTTATTTTTCAATAGTTTCTCGGAAGCATATCGAACTATTTTTTTTAAATCAAAACTTTGAATGCCAAGCACTTTGCAAAAGTTCGATCAATCTTCGGGATCGTGTTCCCCCGGAGACAATCTCTCCCGTCGCGGCGCAGATCGCGTCGCGATCTGTTCGAAATAATGCACTCGCCCGATAACCGAGAGCCACCACCCGTCTCGGCCCGATATGCATATATCCCAAACTTATCGCCGCGTTAATACCGGCTTTATGCATGTGCCGGTAATAAATTTCGGAATCCCGGCGATTCTCGGCGCCCCAGCTAAGTTTCTGCCGTTTATTAAACGTTATATTTGGCCCAAGATCCATAAACATGGAAACGCAGTCGTTTACATGTAGGCA